ATGTTGGACGCTGTGATGAATGTTGGGCGCTATGATGAATGTTGGACGCTGTGATGAATGTTGGGCGCTGTGATGAATGTGGGGCGCTGTGATGAATGTTGGATGAATGTTGGACGCTGTGATGAATGTTGGGCGCTGTGATGAATGTTGGGCGCTATGATGAATGTTGGACGCTGTGATGAATGTTGGGCGCTGTGATGAATGTTGGACGCTGTGATGAATGTTGGGCGCTGTGATGAATGTTGGGCGCTATGATGAATGTTGGACGCTGTGATGAATGTTGGGCGCTGTGATGAATGTTGGACGCTGTGATGAATGTTGGACGCTGTGATGAATGTTGGGCGCTGTGATGAATGTTGGGCGCTGTGATGAATGTTGGACGCTGTGATGAATGTTGGGCGCTGTGATGAATGTTGGACGCTGTGATGAATGTTGGGCGCTGTGATGAATGTTGGGTGCTGTGATGAATGTTGGACGCTGTGATGAATGTTGGGTGCTGTGATGAATGTGGATGAATGTTGGGCGCTGGCGCTGTGATGAATGTGGGGCGCTGTGATGAATGTTGGGCGCTGTGATGAATGTGGGGTGCTGTGATGAATGTGGGGCGCTGTGATGAATGTGGGGCGCTGTGATGAATGTTGGACGCTGTGATGAATGTGGGGTGCTGTGATGAATGTTGGGCGCTGTGATGAATGTTGGGCGCTGTGATGAATGTTGGGTGCTGTGATGAATGTTGGGTGCTGTGATGAATGTGGGGCGCTGTGATGAATGTGGGGCGCTGTGATGAATGTTGGACGCTGTGATGAATGTGGGGTGCCGTGATGGCCCATACGAGGCACCTCCTATTTATATCCACCCAAACACAATCATATATATATATCTAACCTACGCCAGCACACACAGGGTGTACACAGTCCTTGCAGCGACTACTGGATGCTGCTTACTACCATCAACATGAATAAGAGAAAGAGAAACACAAGTTGTCCCTCAGAACTGATGTGAAGCCTTTATTAACCAGCTGAGAGACCCAAATGGCAACCCAAATACCCCCTTATGGCAACATCCTGAAGACATTGATCAATTTTGTTGATGATTTCAGTTATCAAACTTAGAGGAGGCCATATACTGCAGGTATGTTGACGACATTTTTACACAGGTACCTGATGTCAAAAATCTGCAGGAGCTGAAGGAAGCATTTGAGCGGAATTCTGTGTTACGTTTCACTTTCGAGATGGAGAAGGATGGGAAGCTGCCCTTTCTAGATGTAACAGTCATGGAAAGGAGCGGAGGTTTCCACACTGCAGTCTACACTAAGGAAACAAACATAGGAATGTGCCTGAATGCCAACAGTGACTGCCCGGACAGGTACAAGACGAGTGTCGTTAACGCTTATGTCGACCATGCTCTCAGCCACAGCTCAGGATGGAAGCAAGTCGATGAAGAACTCTGTAGGGTAAGGCAGGTCCTAGTCAACAACGGCTTCTCCAATGGTTTCGTTGAAGACATCGTAAGAAGGAAGGTGAAAAGCCATGCAACCTCTGAAGAGACAACTAACACAACACCTATACCCCCTATTAGACTATTTTACAGGAACTTCTTTTCCACAGCTCATAAAACGGAGGAAAGGGTCCTGAAAGATGTTGTTAATAGAAACGTTATCCCAACAGACAAAAATCAGAAGATACAATTGAAGATCTACTATAAAACCAAGAAAACGGCCAACCTACTCATGAGAAACTCTCCAGACACAAAGCAGAACGCTTTAAAAGAGACCAATGTCGTCTATGCCTTCAAATGACCACTTGGGGACTGTAAGCCTCAAAGAAGTCAGTATATAGGCAAGACAACAACATCTCTTTCCAGGCGATTAACGATGCATAAGCAACAGGGCTCCATTAAGGAACATATAATCTCTTCCCACAACCAGACCATCACCAGAGAAGTCTTAAAAAAAAAACACGGAAATCATCGATAGATACAGCGATAGCAGGCGGCTTGATATCTGCGAGGCACTACACATTAAGAAGTCGACACCAGCAATCAACAGCCAATTAATGCACAACTATATTCTACCCACTTCAAGACTCCGCACCAATATAGAAGCATCAAGAAATATGGGCCAATAGGCCCTTTGCAGTTACTTCCATTCTTCCCTTTAACTTACAAAATATTATACCCATTGTTTCGTGTTCTGTCATGTGTTGAAAGTTTGTTTTCACCTCATCCAAAACTGTTGTAACATATTACCTCACCCAAATGCAGGTTTAAAATCGAAGATGTTTAAGCTCTGTTCAGTTATAAGTTGTGTGTGAGTAAACTGAAGTCTTTGAAAATGTAATAAGTTTTACGAAACGCGCTCAAGTGTCGCGTCAGACTAGAAATAAAAATGAATTTTGGAGAATTGATTTTTCAGTTACCATCAACAGTGAAGAAAAATATAAGAAAAAATGAGAAAATTCGTGTTAGAATTATTAATCTTACCTTTTCGGTCATATTTAATAATATATATATAATATATATATATATATATATATATATATATATATATATATATATATATATATATATATATATATATAATATACACCCCCTGTCTCCGACATAAGAATTAAACATGAATTATTTTGACTGTCACGTCCCACTGTTCAAGTTTTCCCTTAGTCCAGCAAAGAAGAGAGATCGTTTTCTTTAATTTATTGGTTTGTCTGACGCAGCCAATTAGAGAGCCTGCGTCACACACTCTGGTGAGGGGGCATATAGTGTATTTTTTTTTTTAAGGTACATTGGGTTTGTGTGAGTACATAACATTAGTGTTCTTATATTCTTGCAAAGCCACTAACTCGCATATTATTTCGAGCAATATTTGATTTGTTAAATATATATAGATTCAAGTCCAGTACGGGCTCACCATAGCCCGTGTTGCTTGGAACTTTTTGTTCCAAGTAGCTGAATCTAAAACAACAACAACTACTTAGATTGATTGGTGGATTGATGAATGTTTGGATGGATAAATGGAGAAGGGGTAAATGGGTGGGTTAGTGGCTAGATAAATGTTTGGTTAGATGGATCCTTTATCAAAGTAAAATTATCCTTGAACTTTATCAATTTTGTGTTAAACCTCTTCCCGGCTTGATGCCTTCTTTTAATAATTACTTGCGCTAAACCTTTAAAAAAAACACTCTTAGAAACCATAAGAAACAACTTCGACCCAGAGTTTCTAGTTACAAAAACGCAGTGATTACAACCTCCTCTCTGCTCTGGTTTAAAAGAAAGCCGAGTCACTTTAGCAAGAAAATAGTCACTTGAGCTTGACGGATGAGTGTGTACCCTAAATAGCAAAAGGACGCTATTAGTGCCGCGAGGCAGGTAATCTTCGTCAAGTGAAGGAGGAGACAGGTGTGTTGACTGTAGTACAGAGTTGGTACGAGGACATAAGGTGGTGACAGCGAGAGTGTAAGGGAAGCACCATGGTTCATTTACCGCGTAGTTCAACCACGGCCTGGTTCGACAACCATGTAGTAAGACATGACTCGTATCCCGGGAGTGTACCACAGGGACCCTTAAATCGTACCCCAATCTCCATGGGTCCCATTGGGACCTTGAATCGTACCAAGGGGGACTATACCACTTGGACGCTTGAATCATACCCCGGGGTCTTGGGGTACCCCCACTGGGACCTTGACTGTCCTCAGGAAGGAGATCCGCTCAAGGAAATAGATTGGGGATGACTACATAATGTGTGCTATGATGTACTTTGTATCCTTGGTTAGGTTAAATTAAGGCTACTTTAGGTTAAGGTTCGGTTATGATAGGTTAGGTTAGGGTTTCATTATGTTTGTTTACGTTAATACGATGTATTATTACGTAATTCCCCGGCATAACAGTGGAAAGCTGCCTGTTCATACCGCCCTCAACTAGAATACTGCTGGTGCTCTCTAGAGCTCTACACGTCTCCTCCATCACTCCGTGTGGTCTTGCTACGACGTGTGACGGAGGACGTGCAGTACATAGTGTATAGTCATCCTTGTGGTATTTTTTAAGTAACGTAAATATTAAGTTTGTTTATTGTTGTGTGTAAGCCAAGTTTTCAGGATTTATTATTTTGTTTATTATTATAAGTAAAGAATTTAATTATTTATGTTTGTTTACTCCTGTAACTAGCACACCGCAAAGGACTTTAGCTGTTTTGTTTACCTTGTTTTACCTTTTTTGTTTTTGTTTTAATGTGCGTTAGGCAAACTACAGGTGCCAGGTAGTTGCTGCGATACCTACAACACGTCACATTAACATGCCATCAAAATTGTCAGCCACACTTCCGTGGAAATAAACATTCCATTCACGACGGCTGTTTGGGTCTCGAACCCCTGAACCCCGCGCGTGTGAGGCCGACGCTCTATACATACAGCCCAGGTGAATGCAATATCATTCTATTGTCACATCCAAACAATTTGATGTGTTACATTGCTGATTTCTTTAATTTATATAGTTATGAAGCCACTTACACTAACACTGTACATAATGATCTTAGGTGTGGGCGTGCGGCACAATACATAATTTACACTCCTTATCTTTTTCGCTGACATCAACACCGTATTGCCAGAAATATTTGTATCCTACTCTTAATCTCATGTAAATTTAACCCTTCCAAGTAGACTTTCATCTACCATAAGTGAAGGACGAATTTGTGTTTATTATTGCATAATGGGTTAAGTGTGTTACTCCTGTCCACCATTGCCGTTCTCTTAACTTTTCTTCATCCTCCACCAGGTCCATCCTCCACCACCATCCTTCATTTGGTCCACCGCTCCAAGCAACAGCCTGGTGGACCAAACTCTCACAAGTCAAGCCTGGCCTCGGGCCGGGCTTGGGGAGTAGAAGAACTCCCAGAACCCCATCAACCAGGTACCAACAGTCTACAGTTAACACACTGGGATATTTGGGTAAAATATCCCAAGTTTGCTCACTCCAGGTCCGAAGGCCTTTGTAGTTACATTTATTTGTATGTGTTAATGCTTTATTATTTATATTCACATGGGAACAAAGTACACAAAAAATGGCAAAATATAGTAATAAATGGAATAATTAATAATTGGAATACTGTATTTTCAAGACCAGGTCAAGGACATTGGCGTAGCAACGTATCTGGATAACTAATGCTGCTGACACAAGAAATTGTAAGCTCTTCCACAAGGGTAATTGGCGAGAGGCGGGTGAGATACATCACTCAAGTAGGCGCAGTCGTTGTCTCCTGCGCGAGCCCCGGGAAGGGTCGGGTGCCACACCTGGGGGTCGATCTCCTCACCGTTGTCGATCCACTGCCAGGTTTTGCCATCAGGTGATTCCTTCCCACCGACCCAGACTTCTGTTGTGGCTGCTGAGGGAGGGACGAAATAGTTAAAGGCACCTAAAGGTTAACTTTCACTCCTAAAAGCACTCCTAATAGCAAACTTCACAGTATATTAGGATATCTAACAAATGGCTTTCAAATTATTCAGTTAAAAGCAATACCGCTGAGTGGTTAGAACAAGGATTCAAAAGCGTGTGAGCCGACACCCACAAGCTATTGAACCCTGGTTCTTTTTCTGAGCAGAGCGAAACATTTAGTCATATTCCCTTGCAGCTGATGCCTCTGTTCACCTTACAGTATATAGGCACCTGAGAGTTAGGCAACTATTGTGGGTTGCATCGTGGGGAAGGTCAGTCGTTCCTTCAGTGGGATCTCATTATGTCTAACAGAATCCTTGTCCACAACCTACATTTTATAGTATCTGCCCCGTGACCCCCTGAAGGGCCTGAACCCGGGCCACAGAAGTGGAAGTCCAATATTATGCATTGCCGTTGATCCATTACGTCACTTTACTCAGACATAAGTATACAGTCGTCTCACGAGTCCTAAGGGGGGTCATAGCTGGTCAACTAAGGGGGGGGGGGTCAACTTGCTGTAAAATATAGCTTAGGGACCTTCAAAGTCACTACACAATGTAAAGCTTTGGGATCCAACCATGACCTGCACACCATCTAAGACCTCCGTCTGAGCGCACGGAGGTCTTAGATGCATGTAGGAATTACAGTCTGAAATTTACTTATATGCTTCCTGAAGCACATTAGGTATGTATGTATATATGACTATCTATAAATCTGTAGCTCATACACAGAGCCATACATAATGATGATTACTCTTAAATTTAACGAATTATTTCCATGATGAAGCCCCTGTGCTTACCTCCACCCTCAGTGATGAAGGTCTGCAGAAGGTAGATCCTCCTGCTGGTGGCCAGGTCGCCACCAAGCCCCTGACAGTGCCGTCGTGCGCCGCTCCACGTCCTCCTGGACTTGCTCAGGTACAGGCACACATCGCCCGCCCTCTTATACGGGTATAGGCACGGTGCTTCTCCTCCTGGCAATGTTGAAGGCAATACAGAAAACAAAATTGCACAAGGAGACGCCAGTATCGTAATGAACTACACTTAACAAGTGCTAGTATCGTAGTATTACCTGAGAAGACACCAATAACAAAACTATACCTGAAGAAAGACTACCATTGGGATATTGAGGGCACAATATCTGGTTGACCACGCAGCCAGAGGAAGGATGCAAGTTTTCAGCCTCTATCCCCAGCACAAGCAAGGCGAAGAGCACCAAGCACGTCATCCTGACGGAGGGGAGAGTGGGCAGAGAGGTTGTGGCTTCCCAAGTGGCAAGCGAGCCAAGTGCAGTCGGGGATTTAAGGGAAATCGGTAGGCGGTGTTGGGGGCGGGGTTAGTGTGACGGTCATGGGGCGGGGTTTTTTATTATTATTATTATTTTTTTTATTATTATTATTTTCTACCACAGACGTGGCCACACATTTACAATGCTAACCAGCATATATACATTTTCTTCTGTCCTCCATGGACAGGGTTAGAGAAATGTTAAACATAGAGTTCAAGGGTTTATTGAACACTCAACCACAGAAGGTGATTCGGTGCTTTTAAAATGCTAAGCTAACCTACATACGTAAATACATAGATACACAGATTTACGTATGCCCTACATAAAGTGTTAGATGTGTCTTTTACATAGTGTCATTAATGTACATTCACAAAGGTGAAATGTAATTCTGATCAGCTTCCATATATACTTTATACCCATACATATACATACACACACACATATACATACATATATACACACACATGCATTCACATACATCTGTCTCATTTACTCTGACAGGGTGAGATAGCTGATAAAAAAACTAGTGTGCAATTAAGCACTTAATCACTGAAGGTGATGAAGGTGCTTTTACAAGCTCAGGTTATATAGATACATCATATATATACATTGAATAAATGATATATTATATGGTCAATCTTGGATACAAGTCCAATATATCATCAAGTGTTCCAGTACTCATATAGTAATTACAGAGTTCAGCATACCTTAGCCCAGGAGGGCGAAAGGCAGTCAGTATGGGACATTCTACAATATAATGTTCAAGAGAGTGCATGTTTTCTCTTTCACAAAGTTGACACATTGTGTACTCGGCATTTGGGTTTTGAGAAAGCTGCCAGATACGTCTATATCCCAGGTGTATTCTGGCCACTATAACATCACATTGCCAGGATCTTGTTCTATTAGTCCCATATGTGAATGCCTCCTCACGATATCTATCATAATATTTAATGCTACAACTTTCAGGTCTTTGTGAATTTGTTAGGTCGGTGAGATTTTCATTAGATGGGGTTAGTAGGAGGGTGGTGGAGCGGGGCTAGACAGTTGAAGGGCGGAGGTTAGTAAATTGGTGTAACGAGATTAACAGGATAGTAATTGGGATGGAGTTATGTGAAGATTGTGGATGTGGGGGGGGGGGGGTATTGTAGGTGCTAACGAGAGGTCAGTAGGGTGTCCCCCCCCCCCACCCCAATCGGGAAACGCCCTACTGACGTACTATTCAGGAGCATATTCATTCAGGAATGAATACAAGAGGTTGTAGAAAATAAATCCTTCAATAATTACTAGAGTTTCTTACTATGAATTTTGGTAACCTGATTGTTCTTCCTAATCCCTACACTAAGAAAATAATTAGAAGGTTATCATGAAATGATTTCGGGGCTTAGTGTCCCCGCGGCCCGGTCCTCGACCAGGCCTCCACCCCCAGGAAGCAGCCCGTATATATGTCGTGTATATATATATATATATATGTCGTACCTAGTAGCCAGAATGCACTTCTCAGCCTACTATGCAAGGCCCGATTTGCCTAATAAGCCAAGTTTTCATGAATTAATTGTTTTTCGACTACCTAACCTACCTAACCTAACCAAACCTAACGTTTTCGGCTACCTAACCTAACCTAACCTATAGAGATAGGTTAGGTTAGGTTAGGTAGGGTTGGTTAGGTTCGGTCATATATCTACGTTAATTTTAACTCCAATAAAAACAAAATGACGTCATACATAATGAAATGGGTAGCTTTATCATTTCACAAGAAAAAAATTAGAGAAAATATATTAATTCAGGAAAACTTGGCTTATTAGGCAAATTGGGCCTTGCATAGTAGGCTGAGAAGTGCGTTCTGGCTACTAGGTACGACATATATATATATATATATATATATATATATATATATATATATATATATATATATATATATATATATATATATATATATATATATATATATATATATATAATGGAGGATATTGATCCGGATATTTTCTTCAAAAGGTCAGATATAACACGAACAAGAATCAAAGGTTTCAAGGTCAACAAGCCACATTACAGGACAGAAAGCAGAAGATGCTATTTCGCCCACAGGGTTATAAACCCGTGGAACCGCTTACCCGCCGTCGAAGCTGTAAATGTCGAAACATTGTTGAATTTCATAAATCAACTCGATAAAAATTATCATGACAAATGGGGAATCTTTGACAAGCTGCCAGCTTCCTGTCGCCTCGAGGCCACTAGAGATAGTGGCCCCTCAGGTAAATCCAGATAAATAAAAAATAAAATAAAATAAAATGTTTATTTAGGTAAGGTACATACATACAATAAATTTTTACAAAGATTGGTTGACTTATAGGTAGAGCTAGTACATACAATGCCTGAAGCCACTATTACGCAAAGCGTTTCGGGCATAAAATAAAGTCCCTGTGTATTGAGGGGCGGTTGTGTTCGGTGGTGGGCTTAAAGATTATCAAACTCTGATGGCTATTAAGGTCATCATAATAGTTTACTGACCAACCAGAGTTTGCTTTAGTCCCGAACATAGATAGTTCTGGACTAAAAGTTTCATGGTAAATACACCGAGAAAAGGGATACGTATATGATGAGGGAGAGGCAGTAAATATTATAAAAAACATAATATAAACATATGTGATGTTTAATGTACTGATATACTGTATAATATATAAGCAGATATATAAGGGTAAACTTTGTCAGGGATTGATGTTTGCACTCATACTGTACTATATTATGTATAGAACAAATTCCAGAGGATGTTTAAGGATTGAATTTATACATATACCATAACCCTACCATAACCCAAGTATTATGTTTACCTAAATAAAAAATATTAAATAAATAGTATATCAAAGACATTCAATAAAAATTAGCAATCTGTGTTTGTATAATTAGTGAGATTTTAAGTCATTCTACATAAACGTTACAGCCTTTATCTGGTCATTATTAAATTTCGGAGACTTGAGGCAAAGTGAAATTCATACCAGTTACTCACTCCATCTATCATCATTCTATTATGCAGGAAGTACCGCACGTCTATGGGTCATCCAATAATGTTAGCAGACTTCTAGATGTTACCACTGCTAGGCTTAGGCTCGGCTACAAGTACCTCTGGCAGTTTGTAACATCTGCTGATGCAGATTTGACTAAGTGTAAACTCTGTCAGCAGAACTATTCGCATACTTTGCGTCATTATATAATGGAATGGGAAAAATCGCGGAATTTAGAAATAACACCATCAATAGTGTCCAAGAAATGTGTAAGTACTTTATTCATAATGATGTGCTGCCCGAAATCTTAGCAAAATATCCAAAATTTGCTTACTGTATGCATGAACATGACTGTAGAGCTGCCGCCCAGTTGGGTGGGTGTGCAGCAAGACTAGTAACTGTGTGACTCACCATAGATGTAAAGTGCCTTGTATAGTGACTGTTGTGAGCCTCTTGTTGAATCACTTGTGACACAAAAGATTATTGATGTGTGTATTTGTGTGGGTGATTAAATATGTATGTGTATGTATATATGTATACGTATGTATATGTACATGTATGCATGAGTATGTGTACATGTTTAGATAGTTTAGTTCATTTATTATGCACCCCATACCCATCTTGTGGGCGGTAGTGGAAAGGGTTACAGAGGCACATAATGGGCTCAGGAACTGAACCCCACAATTCATTTAGCTAAGCAAGTTACAATCTTGATGAGCTAGTTACAAAACTCAATATAAGTCGTCACATCAACAATGGGTTCGAGATATATAACATTAATAATTTTGTAACTAACGTCAAAAAATTGTTATTTGCTTAGCTACACGAACTAGAGGGTTCAGTTCCTGAACCGATTATGTGCCTCTGTAATCATTTACACCACCGCCCACGGGATGGGTATGGGGTACATAATAAAGAAAGAAATTGAAATTGGTCATTATTGTTTTGCAAAACCAACACTAAAAACTAATGTTAAGTTTTGTATGTCGTTAAACAGATCCATTTTCTTTTACAACCATTAACTAAGCATAGAAAATGAGAAATTCAAGAAAGCAGATATATAAGGGTAGACTTTGTTAGGAATTATTAAATTGGCGCTAAAATTCAGCAGACATTATTTCTAATATAATAATAATATTTTATTTACAAGAAGGTACAATGGCCTGATGAGAATACATTAGTGATATTTTTACATTCTTTCAAAGCCACTAACACGTAAAGTGTTTTGGGCAGGTCCTTAATCTAACATATCAGGTAGGCTGGGATATCCATATCTATGTCAGGTGGCTACAGGTAATGAATCCCCCAATGGTGAAGATTCCAATTGTAAACTATATGAACAGGAGCTAGGACATAGTCTCCAACACTATATCTGTGATTACCCTGATTATAAGTGACTTCAGACCAAATGGTATGAGGTACATTAAACTCAGTACTTACTTCATACGCTCAGGTATATTGATTTATATTTATGTTATATCTGTTAGTTTAAGGACTTGCCCAAAATGCTATGCGTGCTAGTGGCTTTACAAGATTGTAAAATCAACATCATTCCTATGTTCTCTCTTAACTCCCCAATGTACCTTCTTGTATATAAATAAATAAAATAAATAAATAACCATCCTGTGAGATGGGAATATTAGATGAACTTATAGATAGTTTTTTATCTACACTGTGTAATCTTTCATATAGAATAGGGTAGCAGTACATTGCTGTGTATACCTAAGCTTGTTAATAAAAACAAAAAAAAAGGTAAGATGAAGAAGTACATTGTAGCAAGGTTTTATATCAACAATATAAATTTACTGAGGTGATTACACTGGTAATGAATAAGTACTTAATTAGTCTTAAGTACAGTACTAATATTGGGGAAGTGGGTAGTAGAAGATACAGTGTGAGTTTGAGGCTCAAGGTAGGAAACTATGAGGGGTGAAATTAAGTACTTTTTGGTTTTACTTTTGAACAGGGCATAGGTTGGGACAATTTTTGAATTCATCAAGGAGTAAGTTCCAAAGACTGGGCCCTTTGATTTGTATAGTGTTTGCACAGATTTAGCCTGACTCTGGGGATATCAAAAGAGATATTTTGCCCAAAACGCTATGCATATTATTGGCTTTAGGTATTGTATGTACTAACTCTATCTATAAATCCAATATTTTGTTTGTAACTCATCATCTATGTACGGGACTGTATGTGCTTTTACCTGAATAAAAATTTGAATTTTGAATTTGAATTTATTTCTGGTGTGGTTCTCATGGGTTATATGATTGATATGAGTCTATCTAGTGCTACCCAATTCCCCAATATATGTACCTAAGCCATACAACTTTACCATTGTAATCATTGCTATAATCTTCTATCATGGTTGCTATATTGAGCACACCTGTTGATTGACAGTTGAGAGGCAGAACCAAAGAGCCAGAGCTCAACCCCCACAAGCACAATTATGTGAGTACATAGTTTACTGCATTATACCCTGAAATAATCCTCAAATTATGCTGCAGTGTACCTATGGAAAACCTTTAAATTTACCTGAATGTAGCTACTAATCTTGTTAAATTTCTTAAACAATTAATTTTTTTATACAGTACTTTCTTACAATGTATTTTTGTATACGTTCTTAAAATGCATTTTGTATACTTTCTTACAATGTGTTTTTAAATACTTAATAACAATGTATTGTTTTATACTTTCTTACAATATATTTTTGTACTTTCTTACAATATACCTGTAAACATTTTGTTCAATTTTACTAGAGATTGCCTTCTTATAATTATCTGTTAGATTAAGGACCTGCCCGAAACGCTATGCGTGCTAGTGGCTTTACAAAAAAGTAAAATATCAGTGCTTTGTACTCTCATAAACCCAATGTACCTTCTTGTATATAAATAAATAAAATAATAAATAATAAAATAAAACATTACGCCTGTCAAGGAAAAGTTTCAGATCAAGATTAGCATTTAAGAACAAGGTTTTGTACATGCAGATAACACATGAGAATGTGTGGAGTGAGTGTATGTTTAGCATGTTAAGGGACTTAAACATAGGGGCTGTGTGTTGTCTGAAGACAGAGTTTGTTACAAGATATGATGTTTATTCAGGGGAAAGGTACATGCATTGAAAATGAGTTACAAATATAATGTTTTATTTATAGATAGAGCTCGTACATACAATGCCTGAAGCCACTAATACGCACAGCGTTTTGGGATATTATAGTACTAATAGCAGATTTTTGCCAAGTGATGATAGGCTTGAGGTAATTTGCAGTAGTTGAACCCCATGCACAGATACCATATGTAAGATAGGGGTAGATTAGTGTGTAGTATAATGAGAGGAGAGCAGAGTGGAGAACATATTTTATTCTAGAAAGTATATCGACTGTTAACACAGACTTTTTTGCGATGTGTTGTATGTGGGTGTTGAAGTTCAGTCTCTTGTCTATGTATAGGCCAAGGAACTTTCCCTCATTTTTATAGGTAATGTTGACATTGTCTATCTGAAGTTAAATCTGATTTGATGATTTACTACCAAATAAAGTGTAGTAGGATTTTTCTATGTGAGTGTAGTTTCTTTTTTAGTTTAGTTCATTTATTATGCACCCCATACCCATCTTGTGGGCGGTAGTGGAAAAGGTTATAGGCACATAATGGGCTCAGGGACTGAACCCCACAATTCATTTAGCTAAGCAAGTTACAATCTTCATGAGCTAATTACAAAATTCATTGCACATCGTCACATCAACTTCGGGCTGAAGACTGACCACAAGTACAGTTCCTAAATTAAGCAACTGACATATGTGGAGAGCTAGTGTCACAATTTATACGTTTGTCCTGCACACCGGCAGGCATCCAATGGGAAACGGTGAATAGGTTACAATCACTTAGTTACGGTAATACCTAGTTAACAAACTGGGAATATTTGGCCAAGATTTCTGGTAGCAGATCATTTTGAATGAAATATTTACACATCTCTGGAACATTTGTTATAGAATTATCTCTGAATTCACATATCTTTTTGCACTCCATCACATAGTGACAGAGGGTGTTATTCATTTATTATGCACCCCATACCCATCTTGTGGGCGGTAGTGGAAAGGGTTACAGAGGCGTGCGAATAATTTTGTTGACACAGTTTATATTTGGTCAGGTCTACATAGGCAAATAATGAGAATTTCCAAAGATACTTGTAACCGAGTCTAAGGCGAGCAATAGTAACATCTAGAAGTCTGCTGATTTTATTGGATGATCCATAGATGTTTGGCTCCTCTTGCATAATAGTATGATGATAGATGGAATTACTGGTGTCGATTTCACTTTAAATCAGATCTACAAAATTTTATTAAAGTTCCTGGTGTACTATTGTAAGTCTGTTGGTTGACATCCATGAGTGGACTTTTTTTAATTCATTGTTGACATATTAATTAGTCTGTGGGGGTATAATATAAAAAGGTTCTGGGGTGGGGGTATATAATATTCTTATCTGGTTTTCTAGAGCAGTGGAACGGTGGCTCCCTGTAGCTAATTAACCACAGAGAACAAGGAAACTGGGACTTACTAAAGAGCAGGAGAGTGAATATTAGACTCACATAGACGAGAATCCAGGTTGGGAAACCCAACCAAGAGCAACACAAGCCCTACGGGAAGCAGGAGCACTGACCAGGCAATGAGCCACTTTGTTCCTATTAGGCCTCCCAAACTCCCAAACTGGGTTATCAGCCCAAGACATTAAAAAGGACTGTAGTCAATGCCACAAACATTATGGACCTGAGAGTAGATCGCAGCCTGGCTAGACTTAATGACACTGCAGACGACATGAGACTTACAAACCTTGGAAAAATGGAACCGAGGAAACAGGATCAACAAAGCATTCCCTGAAGCAGTCCAGGTGGCACGCAAGTAGCGATGAACAGCTGCAACCCGAGACAGCAAATGATGCATCCTGACAGCAAATGGGGCGCCCGACAGCTGGGTGGACAGCGCTTTGGATTCATAGTCCTGAAGTTCCGGGTTCGATCCCTAGTGAAGGAGAAGACAAATGGGCAAAATGTTTCTTTCACCCTGATGCTCCTGTTACCTAGCAATAAATAGGTACCTGGGAGTTAGATAGCTGCTACAGGCTGCTTCCTGGGAGGTGTAACAAAAAGGAGGCCTGGTCGAGGACCGGGCCGTGGGGACGCTAAGCCCCGAAATCATCTCAAGATAACATCAAGATAACCTCCCCAGCCTAATAAACCATGAATAAATAAATAAAAAACCCTTCAGTAGCCATCTCATTCTGTGCCAGAAATCAAGGCTTTAAATTAAGAACCCATACTTTCAGAAGAAAACATGAAATTCCCCAACCCAATAACCAGAAGTGAGTGCCAGCAAAAACTAAGCCTGGGAAAACATTCACAGACCAAAATGGCAACTGAGAACTGAGGGAACGAATGAAAGACCAACACCTTATCAAGAGATCAAGAAGGCTCAGGAGAAGAATAAGTCGGCAAGTGACAAAATGCATAAGACAACTTACAGAATGGCACTGAGGAAGTATTGACACTGAACACTAACAAAAGTGGTTCCGCCAAAGCTAAATGATAAGAGGTCGTGTCTGGCTTGCAATGTTGTTAGCCCTGTTGCCCTCAACCTTTCCTGGTAAGAGAATTGACTTTGTTCTGGAATGTCTTTTGTTGCCTTGGTGTTGAGCTTTCTGCAACGCAGCTATGTCTTTCTGAAGATGAAGTCTCCATGCTTGGATACAATAATCCAAGTGGGGAAAACCATAGATTTGTACAGTTCAATAAGAATCTTCTTTTTGTTAAAGTCAAAGGTTCACTTGATTATTCCTTGGGTTTGGTTATCTTTTTTACTGCAGCTTCCACTTGTTGTGCAACTTTCAGTGAATGATGGATTCTGATTCCTAGGTCCTTTTCTTCATCAATCTTCTGCTAGGTAATGTTATAAATTTGGTAGTTGTGACATGGATTGTGAAACCCCACATGTAAATGATTTCGCAAATGATAGGTAGTTTACTAAAGTAATACTTAATGCTCAAGGGTATAGATTACCTTATGTTGTTGACAGATTTAATAAGGAGGTTTATGGAGGTTTCAGTGTGCATTCAAAAGTTATTCTCTCTATTTTCTAATTGTAGTTTGATAATGTTTGCTAGATGAAATATAGGGTAGGGGTTTGTTGTCCCATCAGTAATTATTCCCAACGTTAGTGGAGATGCTATGTTCATCCAAATGTGCTCAAATAATGAGCTCAATCATCGTACTAAACATGCAATGGTTGCTCAAAAAAATATAACAACCAAATAGAGTGGACAAGTGCATCATGTATAATAAAAAGAGGTATAAAATAAAAATATATATTATATGAAGTACAATGTTCCTTACAATATTACAAAAACCAAATAGTTTTTTTTAAATTGATGACAGACCTTCTAATATTATCAAATCGCCTGTAAAAATAAATACTGTCAGTACTTCTTCATTTTCCCCCATAAGCATGTATCCATAATTTGTTTGTTGATTGTTATTTCATTTAATGTTTTGGATGGCAAGGCCCAAAAAAAAGCTCCCTTCTTCAAGCATTTGGCCTCTATCGCTCTTACTCTCAATAGCATCACCTGCAAATATGGAATAATCTTACTAAACAGCTCCCTGTGTGCATTAGTACAAAACAATATTATAACAATACAGGGAACAATAATAATTGTAAATTATTAGAACAGCATTTGATTCTTGACCTGTCCTTGAGCTAAATGATGAAATTAGTGCCATGAATTATGTAAGTTTCAATTTAAAATATCATAAGTCTTTCATTGAAAAGCTAGTGATATTGCTCACAATACTTTCTTTAGTTTGAAAATGAAAGAATATAATAATATATAAAGAATACAATAATTCTGCCATTCATGACAACTTCAATGAAAGTCATAAATTACTAAAGCAATTAAATATCAGTGCAGCATTTAGGCATCTTAATACAGTATAAAAAACTCAGATTAATTCCCTAAGTAATGTACAGTACAGTACTTGTAACAGTTGTGTGTACAAAATTCCATGCAAAGATTGTAATAGGTTCAATGTTGGCCAAACTGGCAAACATCTTCACCAAAGAATAAAATAACACAAATATACCATAAGAGAACTACTGAGATTCTGTGACAAATTCTCGCTCAGTCAGCAAATTACAGAACCAACTAGGAACAAAAACACGCTGGACCTGATATTCACGAACAATGAGGAGCTAATCAGACACATTACTGTCTCAGACACTACGTACTCGGACCACAAGCTCATTGAAGTGCAAACTAACATTAATAACGGTAGTAGGCACAAGAGAAACAACAAGCGAGAAGGGCTATTCAATAAATTCAATTTTAATAATAAGAGGATAGACTGGGAGAAAATAAACAGGGAACTTACAAACATTCAATGGGAAAATGTTCTAAGAAATAAAAATCCTACACAGGGAATAGAAAAACTGACGTCTAAAGCATATGAAGTCTGTCTGAAACATGTTCCTTTGAGGAAAGCCAGAAAGAGGTCCAATGTAGAAAGAGAACGCAGATGACATTACAAAAGGAGGAAGAAATTAACGGAAATGCTTAAGCAGACACGTCTCTCCATACATGCATCTCTCTGTATGAGAGAACAGAGAAGAAATAATTTAAACAGGGAGATTGAAGAAATCGAACAGAGACTGAAGCATTCCTATCAGATTTAAGACAGGCAACTAGAACAGAAAGCAATTCAAGAAATAAAGAAAAACCCACAATATTTCTTCACATATGCTAAATCAAAAGCGAAAACCACTGCCTGTATTGGACCTCTTCGTATTAGTGAAGGCTCATACACTGAGGATGACAAAGAAATTAGTGAAATCCTAAAAAAGCAGTATGAAGACATGTTTAGCACTCCGATACTCAGCATGAAAGTGGAAGATTCGGACAATTTCTTTATGAATGATACTCGAACACCTGTAAATATAACTGATATCAACACGAGCATGGCAGATTTTGAAAGAGAAATTGACAATATGCCCATGCACTCAGCCCCGGGTCCAGACTCATGGAATTCAATATTTATAAAGAAATGCAAAGTGCCAGTAGCACAGGCACTCAGTATAGTGTGGAGGAATTTGCCATCTATTTTGTTACAAATTTGGGTATTGTTTATCCTGAGATTTATTTGATTAGAGAATTTATTGTCATTAAAGATAATGTGGAATGAAATACAATCTTCAAGGAGCTTTGAGGAAAGTGCTCAAAGATGGTGTATTGCTTACTGCCCTACTTTGGTTTGGCTCCTAAGCAGGCAGGACAGGATTCACTCTGTCCTTGTAGCAAAACTTCAGCATATTTCTAGTTTTTCTTGATTTGCCAAGCAGTTGTCAATGATGAGATGTCTGACTCTGAAGGTATGCCTTCGTGGGAAAGGCCATTGATGTCACGGGGAAAAAGTTTAGAATTTGTGGCAGAAGGAACACAGAGCATACCTCCATCTGCCATGATCCCTCACCCTCTCAGTAGATAAGCTTTTATCACACAGAACAAAACAATGTTTATAGTTTCCAAAAATATTATATATACAGTATATATATATTTATATATATATATATTATATATATAAATATATTATATAAATATATACTGTATTATATATTATATATATATATATATATATATTATTTACATTATATATATAAGTTTGCAAACAAGCTTGAATGGTCCCCAATCCAATATGCAACTGAAATATATAAATTTATAAACCTTTCCTACAGTAGAATAAGGAACTCATATTTTCTGGTTATAAATGCTTTAATCATAATGTTTTAGAACTTATTTCCCATTGCTATTGGCATACCTAAGAAAATATTACTTATTTTTGGTTGCAGTATTCACTACATTAATTACTATAACCAATTAAAGGCGGGGAAGAAAAATCAAGTCAGGTGCCACTTACCCTACTTAGAGTAACAACGACAACCAATAAGCTTCAACTTATCCACAAAGTGTAATTTTGCGCAACATATAACATGTACATCACATAGCCATATGGTCCAATACTTTTCATTACCTCTGTAATTGACCAAACTGTGAGCCTGAAAGGAGAAACGCAAACTTAAAGTCACAAACTAACAGATTAAAGCAAACTCTTAAATATATACATTAGCTAAATAATTTGTTATAATATTGTATCAAATGTATTTTTCATAGTTTTTCAGGGAAATCAAAATGGAAAAAACTAAACCTCACCTCCCCCACCCCCAAAAATATTTGGCATAATTATTCTTGAAGAATTAAAAAAAAAAGTAAAAATATTATTCAATAAGTATAGATTCCACTCCAGACATCTCACGCACAGATCAACGAACATTCGCTGTCCAATACATTAAAGGCTGTGAGCCTGTGGAACGTTTCTTGATGTTCTTCCCCATCTTTTCTCATTCAGCAAAGGATCTAACAGACACTCGTGGATTTTCTTAACGAGAACAAAATTCCACTATCAAACTGCCATGGTCAGTCATACAATAATCCCTCAAATATGTTGAACGATATACTGAACTGCAAGCACAGATTCATCAACTCAGAGTTTGCCATCTATGTCCCCTGTGCTGGACACCACCTGAACTTGGTGCAAGTAAAAGCAACAGTGTTGTCTACAGACTGTAAAATTCTTTGACTTTGTTCAGCATCTGTATTCATTTTTTGCTAGTTCTACTCATTACTGGAATGTATTGACATCATCTTTAGGAAAAGATTTTGTGGTCAAGCTTCTGTCTGACACATGATAGTTATCTTGAGGTTATCTTGAGATAATTTCGGGGCTTAGCGTCCCCATGACCCGGCCCTTGATCAGGTCTCCTTTTTGTTACACACACCCCAGGAAGCAGCCCATAACAGCTGACTAACTCCCAGGTACCTATTTACTGCTAGGTAACAGGGCATCAGGGTGAAAAACATTTTGCCCATTTGTCTCCGCCTCCACCGGGGATTGAACCCAGAACCTCAGGACTACGAATCTGAAGGGCTGTCCACCCAGCTGTCAGGCGTCTTGAGCCTATAAAAACCTATCTTCAGAAAACTAGAAACAAATTTAGTGAATATGAATTCAAAGCCAGGATTATGTGTCCAGATGCAGATTACAGTCAGTACATGTTGATGCTGTTCATGCTCTGTATAAAGGTTTCAAGAAAATAAAACATGCATTGGATTTTCTATCAGCCGAGTATGAACAGCAAGTGAATACAAGGCGAGAGGCAGAAGGATTGAGTAAAAAAATGGAAAACCTGAAAATAATCTCACAATTTTTTGGAATGACATGCTAGAAAGAATGAACAAAACAAACAAAGTCCTGCAGTCAAAGGATGTGAACATCCTTGTTGTCACAAATCTTCTTGAGCCTATGAAAACCTGTTTTCAGGAAACTAGAGACAAATTTAGTGAATATGAATTAAAAACCAGGAGTATGTGTCCAGATTCAGATTACAGTCAGCACATTTTGATGCTGTTCATGCTCTGTATAGAGGTTTCGAGAAAATAAAACATGCATTGGATTTTCTATCAGCTGAGACCCCGAACTATTTGCCCTGCTCCTTGCACTGAAATGTGTACGTCTCCAAACTTGATACATTAATTGTAAGTGACTCCTTATCATCCTTAAATGCTCTCAACTCTTTAAGACATAACTGTAACATGCTCGTGTCCGAAGCTAGACACAAATACAACAAAATTATTAAGGATGGTAACAGAGTCCATTTCATGTGTTCTCCATCTCATGTTGGCCTCCGAATGCATGATAAGAGCTGATAAGTTAGCCAAAGAATCTGCTTTTAAAGGAGCCGTTGAGTGTAACCTTGAGTGTAAAGGATACAGTATATCCATTTCTGTTTATCTTCCTTCAGTGCTCGAGATTTGCAACTGTTGTGCATATCAAGTTTGCCTCTGACTTACCTAACTTTCCTACCTCAATGTTTTCCTGATCAGACTTACCCTCTGCCTTTGCTAGGATTTTTATAATGAGATTTTTGTTTGGTTCTCTCTCCAAAGTTTCTGAATCCTTTACGTCAATCCTGCCTGCATTCCCAGTATGCAAATATATCATGGTTTATTACTATTATAAAATCAATAAATGAACTTAGGAAAAAATGTTTTTTACAGATTTGTAGAGACATAAACTCTACATATAAGGTTTAAGTTTCATGTAAACTGAATAAAAATGAAAGAGTTATAGGAACGTTTATGTTACTTGAAAATAAATAAGTAAAAAATAAAGTCTAAGGTGCTGCCATCTGTGGCTGAGGTTGACATCAACCAATTTCCTGGCACCCGTGGTACCATTACAGATAGGCTTACGTGCAGTCAGGTGTATAAGTTTCATGCAAATCGTCCGATAAACAAATAAGAAAAACAAAAATGAATTTAACTAAATTTTTTTTTGGACAAAACTAATTATTAAATATTTTTATTACATGCTATTGTGATAGCTGAGAGTCATACACATGATTTCAGTTGACACTTGTGTTTGATGTTAATTTTTTACCATTTTGGAAAATTTTTGACACATAATTCAATATTTTTTTCTCCCTTCCTATTTATGCTACGATGCTGAGACTTGGACCAGATGAAACCCTTTTCATATACAACTCATCAAAAAAGTTTGATTGAAATTGAACTAGTTTTCATTTATTGCATATTTGGCACTGATGCTCCCTTAATTGAAAATTGAGCAAAAATATATTCAGAGTAGTCATCTCTATCACTAATGACATTGTTGCAGATGAAGGTATCTTGGTAGTATATAGCTGTGCCACCTCCTTTTTTGTTTTGGCCTACAGTTGTGAATGGCTCTATAACCAGCTAAGTTGAAAAGTTGGGTATGGTCTTTACTTAGCCAGGTTTCTGTTAAATAATGATCGATAGTTCAGTACCTAGCACTGAAAGTAGTGCATTTATATCATCAAAATGTTTACCAAGTGATCTGACATTTTGGTTGAAAACTAATAAGCATGTGTTATTTCGGAGTTTGTTTTTGGCCTGATGTGCTGTGTAATACCTGCAGTGGTGATGATGAGTGTGTTGGTTATTGTATATTTGAGATAGTAGATTTTGTTCAGGATCAATATCAGCTTGCATGTGGATGCAATGGAGTCAAGGTACAATAAGGAAAGCAAGTACAGATCAATAAAATACTAAATCTGTTAAAAATATAAAATAATTAAGGTAAACAGAGAAAAAGAGAAAATATGCAAATATATATATATATAATAGAAACAAATAATATAAAATGAAGATCACTGAAATGAGACAGTAATAGCAAATAACAATTGGTAATTCTATAAAACAATAGCTTACTTTAATAATATAATTACACTATAATTACTAAAGTTACACTAAAACAAAAATGAGGTAGATTATGTAGAGATACACTCAGGTACACTGAATGATAAAGTTTATACTAGAGGACACAGGCAAAGCCAGTGTACAATGGAACAAGAGAGTATGGAGTATATATAAAATAGAGTAAAGAAAACAAGAAAAAAAAGACAATAACAAAGATGACAATTTAAAAAAAAAAAAAAACTTTTGAAAGGAAAGGCAGAGCTATAGTACACTTTGGTAGTTAGATGAGACTATAATTTATATTCTGGTTATTCAGGGAGGATATTATTATTTATTCACTGTGATCCAAGAGCTAGATACACTCTCCAACACAATACTGGTGTTGAGTTGGCTTTACTAATTAATTTGGTCAAAGTGCACGAGATATTCAGAGCTTTGTAACTATTTTAATCACTCACGCAAGCCAATTATTATTGGCATAGCCAATTTACAACCCAATTATTATTATTACAGTGACACCTCGACTTACGATTGCCTCTACTTACGATATTTTCGAGTTACAATGTAAATTTGATCGGAAAATGCGACTCGGTTTACGATTCTGTCGTCGGCTAACGAAATTCGTTGATATGCGTTCAGGTCAACCGAGCGCATGGTTCCTGGTGGCAAGGGCCGACCTGCTTCAGGTTACCAGAGCCACCAGCTTAGTGACGATCACTAATAATGGAAGGGGGGACTCCCCTTCCAAACTCTAACACCTCTCCTCCCCTCCTCCTCACCATCTTCTACACACCAACAAGAGTCCTCAGTAAAGGTAAGATATAACTTGTACATACTGTAGTACAAAATATTTGTAGTATTATGTATAAAATATATTTTGAGGTTAATTTTTAGGAGTGTGTGGAATGGATTAATTCAATTTACATTACCTGTACTGTATTTCTTATGGGGAAAATTCATTTTGGTTTATGAACCGTCTCTGGGAACGGATTAAATTAAAAAACTGAGGTACCACTGTAGTATTATGATGCCCACATGTGTTTGAGCATCGGGACCAAACATCCAGGATATTTTATTACAGTATAAGATTTTAAATAATAGTACTGAAAAAGTGGGCTATAATACAGGCCATATTATACATGATCATAATATTCTGGCAATATTCCTCTACAAACAGATACATATGTCTTGCCATCTGGATACTGGCCCTGGGATACTATCACTCCTGTATTACATGTTTTGTATTAGTTTTGTTTTGCATTACATTTTGTTTTGCACATTTCAATTGCACCTAAAGGCATGATTGTGGTATCAATTATTAGAAACCTAACCATTTTCTACCCATTCCAATATACTGTACCTGATTAGTTTTTGTTTTATATCCAATTTTTAACACCAATAATTGATCTGTGTATATATAATATTTATAATAATAATTATTTACAAGAAGGTACAATGGGTTTATGAGATTACATAAGACTGGTATTTTTACATTCTTGCCACTAACACGCATAGCGTTTCAGACAGAAACTCTATGCATTTTGAAGGCATAGTATATACCTGCTCAATCTAGAAATCCAACATTCTGCTTCTAACTCATTTTGTATATATGTACTTTTACTTAAATAAAGTATTATTATTATTATTATCTTTGGGGGCTAGATATCAGTGTCTTTACCCTAGTCTATAAACTCCAACAGTCTCCAACTCAACAAAACTAAACAGTCTCCGTGGTGTAGTGGTAAGACTCGCCTGGCGTTCCGCGAGCGCTATGTCATGGGTTCGTATCCTGGCCGGGGAGGATTTACTGGGCGCAATTCCTTAACTGTAGCCTCTGTTTAACGCAACAGTAAAATGTGTACTTGGATGAAAAAACGATTCTTCGCGGCAGGGGATCGTATTCCAGGGACCATAGGATTAAGGACTTGCCCGAAACGCTACGCGTACTAGTGGCTGTACAAGAATGTAACAACTCTTGTATATATCTCAAAAAAAAAAAAAAATATCTCAAAAACAAATACATACCTTAACTCTCAAGCAACCACCATAGTCACGTTCTTCTCTAAAAGCATTCTTAACTTCGAGATCGAACCTGCGAAGCACACGATCAGCCCTCACCTCTGTAAGCCGCTGGGCCTAGAACATATACAGTAATTTGTTACTAATAGCAATGTATTTAACTTCATCACATTTCGTTAATGGCTCTCGGTAGTATAGTACAGTCGAGTTCATTCTCGACTCATTAGGATTCCTGGGTTTAAATCTCAGTCAAGAAAGAAATAGTTAGACATGTTCCCCATCACAAAATGCCTCTATTCACCTAGCAGTAAATAGGTAATTAGAAGTTAGTCAACTATTGTAAAGCTGCATTCTTGGGAAAGTCAGCAGTTCAACTTTGTGGGAGAAGGGGCCTTAATATCAGTCAAATGTATATACTGTACTATATATTATATATATATATATATATATATATATATATATATATATATATATATATATATATATATATATATATATATATATATATATATATATATATATATATATATATATACATACACATTCACAGCATATATACCTGGCTACCAAAATTATGCAAATATAAAGCAGGTTTTAAATTCACATCATAAAGTGCTAAATGCAAAATATACTGTACAATTAAATGTTGCTGGATCTTTAAACCATTGACATAAAATAAAGTCTTACACAAGCCTAAAATATAGTCAAGGTGAACAGAATGAAACGCAGTAAATATGCCAAAGAGTTATGACATCTATAGCACTGTACAGTACTGCTGTACTCTCAGTGGATTTATGATAGATGACACTGATTCATTAAAAAATATAATATTTTTATCTGTAAAACAATTGTTATATAATTATCTATAAATTATCCATAATTATCTATAAAACATAATGTATAAATATATTGTACAAATATTGTATATACTGTATATAAATTATTATAATAAATATTATATTATGATGTTGCAGTAGATATATGGTAGATATAACCATTTCACTGTACATCGATGGCAATGTAAGTGCATCCTCACAATAGATCTACAGCAAATGTATATTTTTTTATCAACACATTTAGGTACATCTGCATTTGTGCAGCTGCCCTAGACTATATGAAGGGAAGTACAGTGTGTCAAAAAAATGTTAGCTACATGATGCTAAAATCCCTATCACACAGGATGGTAAATCATTCAAAGGAATGTGTTAAGTAGTCTGCACTGGCAGACTCTGGGTGCATCATGAGGATATTATTCAACTGAATAAGGCAGCAGTGATACTAAAATTGTGCCAGATACCAGACTACCTACCTTGAGGTGCTTCCGGGGCTTAGTGTCCCCGCGGCCCGGTCGTCGACCAGGCCTCAAGTGGTTGTGCACAGTGGTTGCCAGGATCAGGTTGGGTTACCGTTACCTGTGGCAGGTGGCTACAGGTGACAGATCTCCCAATCCTGAGCACTCCAGGTGCAAACCTGAGCAGAAACTGGAGCATGATCTCCCACACTACATCACCAAATGCCCAATTATTAGACCATTCAGACCCGTAGGCATGAGGTACCTGGAGCTTTGCAATTGCTTTATTCATTCTCGTGTTCTTGAAGATATCCTCATAATGCACTCAAAATGTGCCAGTGCAGGCTACTAAACATATGGCCCTGTATGACAGTTTTTGAAACTATTTTTGATATATTTAGAATGTGTCCCTGGAAATTCAGCTTCTGGCCAATGAGAACGCCAAGGAATTTGCAATCTACTTTGTTACAAATTTGGGTATTGTTTATCCTGAGATTTATTTGATTTGAGGATTTATTGCCAAACAAAATATAGAAAGTTTTGTCAATGTTGAGAGTGAGTTTGTTGGCAGTTAGTCAAAGATGGACTTTATTTAGCTCAGTATTCACTGTGACATTTAAAGCAAAGGGGTCAGGACTGGAGTAAATGAAGGTTGTGTCATCAGCAAATAGAATTGGTTTGAGGTGTTGGGAGGCATTTGGAAGGTCATTAATGTAGATGAAAAAGAGGAGAGGGCCAAGTATGCTGCCCTGAGGAACACCAATGTTGATGGGTATGGTGGGAGAAATTTAATTATTCACAAAAATAATTATGCACAGATATAATTATGAAATAAGAGTGCAGGTTCAGGTGTGAACTACGAGGGTCCAGGTGTGTGAACTACGAGGGTCCAGGTGTGTGAACAGTAATGGTTCAGGTGTGAACTACGAGGGTCCTGGTGTGTGAACAGTAATGGGGTTCATGTGTGAACTACGAGGGTCCAGGTGTGTGAACAGTAATGGTTCAGGTGTGAACTACGAGGGTCCAGGTGTGTGAACAGTAATGGTTCAGGTTGTGAACTACGAGGGTCCTGGTGTGTGACAGCAAGTCATAGCTCTGAGTTGAGTGCAGTCAAAGATGACAGTCACTTGCAATTAACGTGTCAACTTTGGATACATATATCGAGGCCTAGAGATCAGGAATAAGCCCAAGTATAGTACAGGTTTCCTGCCCCAGACAACTGGAATTATGCAAACATTTGAGGTAAAATGAGGTTCCCATTTACCAGCTCCTTACCACTTATAGAAACCCGATTATGATAATAGATGCTCCTGTCCAAAACAAGGTATATAATTAGTATAATAAACTAAATAAAATATATTCTGTGATCGACGAGCTGTAGGCAGCAAAGCTCAGAGCATGAGGCAGAAAATTCACCCCTATATATAGCACGTCACACTTAGTTCAACTCACATCGACTAGCTCCTTCAGGCTCTTCCTCAGTGCAATCCCCATTTTCATGTTGCGATATATCTCGCAGTTTTTCCAAGACTCGCAGAAGATAAACTCGTCTGATGATAAATCATCTTCAGCCATGGTGCGTGATGGTGACCACCTCGAGGCTCGCTCGCTACTGACCGGGGTTGAATAGTAATGGTTCACAAGTGAACTACGTGGGTCCAGGTGTGTGAACTATAATGGTTCACAAGTGAACTAGGAGGAGCCAGGTGTGTGAATTATATGAGGTTCCAGCTGCCAGTAGATTGGGTGTGTGACCAAATCTCCCTCAATTCTTAAAAAAAAAAATTACAATCATCTCACAGCAAAACTAACAAATATTTGAAATCAAAATTTCCAGTTATGTCTCAGTAGAACTGCAAAATAATTTGACAGGTGATTAGTGGTAATTTTCGTGTTAGTGAGAGCTTTGACGAGTGAAGAGTACGAATGTTGGTGAGAGTTGATGGTTAAAATGTTGAATAGACCACATTCTCAACCCAGTTTACAAAAGGGTGTTTTTATTTTGTTTGGAGATCTAAAATTCTAAACAAAACATTTTTGTTATAAATATTATGAAATAATGATTGTAAATAGTAAACTCCAACACAGTTGCTTCTCTACTCCCGGGATTTTTATCCCTTTTTCCTGCTTTGATAATAATAATAATAATCTTTATTCAGGTAAAAGTACATACGTACAAAGTGAGTTACAAACAGAATGTTGGATTTGTAGAAAGATCTAGTATATACTATGCCTAAAACCACTAATAAGCATAGCGTTTCGGGCAAAGGTTGGTCGATCCATCCTCTTTCAGCTTCCAGACACTACCGGTGTTTCAGCCCAAGACCATTACAGAAGACCAATTGTTCGACTATATTACACTGTTACTGTGTACGGGCGCCTTCAGGAGTGAGAAGTAGTGTCATTAATTGTAGTGCAGGAAAAGGTATTCTCATTTATTGTGGTTTGAAGTAAGTTGCTCCAATTAATTGTAGTGCGAGGTAAAGTGTTCTCATTAGTTCGTTGTGAGGCTATATGTGTTCACATAACTATATGCGTTCCCATTACAAATCTTTTTGTCAAAACATTTACAGATATAAAGAAAATGGCTAAGAGAATTCTGAAAATTAGGCACAGGGAAAGGAAACGCGCTGAATTTCAAAATATACCTGGAAAAGATCATCAAGGCAAATGGGGAGACCTTCGACAAGTCGCCGGCTTCCTGTCCTCGTCGAGACCACTAGAATTAGTGACCCACAGGTAAATCAGGTAAAAAAAAAAAGGGTACGAAACTGTTAACAGGACACCCTAGCAAAGTCCAGGGGAGTTTTAGGACCATTTCTAATCCAACTAGTTTTGTCTAAAAGCCACCAGTGAACTTGAATATAATCATCTTATAGGTTTCAGTATAACTGGGTTATATGGAAAGTATTATTAGTCTATTCCACACCACTGTGGAAGATTCGGCATACACCCTCTAATCCAATCACTGGGTTGTCTACTCCTCGATTACAAGCAACCGAGTGATTGGATTAGAAGTAATTGATCCACGTTCTCTCACATTTATTAATTATATTATTGAGGAATACGTGTTAGTACACAAAATTTCGTAATTATGAAGGGAAAACCTCAAATACTAAGGTTACTGCTAAAACAAGTTTAGTTTTCTATTAACAATTGCACAGTATAGTTTTCTCTTTCTGTGTTTATATGGCAGACATAACTATAGTGTTAGTTACCTATACATAGTGTTCTTTCCTGGGTAACACTTGCAAAACGAAGATCTTGGAGAGAAATCTGGGGATATAAATTCCCTCCATTTCCTTGAGTTGACTATTTATTAAGGCTATCGTTATGAGAATCAAGTTAGCGTATAATTTGACTGCGCGTGAACAAATCCACAAAGTTGATTGACGGTTGAGAGGCGGGACCAAAGAGCCAAAACTCAACTCTTGCAAGCACAACTAGGTAAGTACAACTAGGTGAGAACAAAGGACCGTGATGAGGGAATTGTGTGAAAAAAACTTTAATTATTTATTTATTTATTTATTTATTTATTTATTTATTTATTTTATTTATTTATTTATATACAAGAAGGTATATTGGGGGGTTAAGAGAGAACATAGAAATGAAGTTGATTTTACATTCTTGTAAAGCCACTAGCATGCATAGCGTTTTGGGCGAATCCTTAAACGAACAGATAATTTGGCCCGAAACGCTATGAGTGCTTTACAAGAATGTAAAATCCACTTCATTTCAGTGTTCTCTCTTAACCCTCAGTGTACTTTCTTGTAAATAAATAAATAAATAGTGCTTTACAAGAATGTAATTACTATGCTATGTATCCTCATAAACCCAATGTACCTTCTTGTATATATATAAATAAATAAAAAATAAATAAAATTAAATACAAATTATGAGCAGATAATTTACAGTAAAATTGACAAAAAAATGTTTACTGATATTTTACAGCTTTACAGATACAGATAATTTTAAGTAGATAAATTAAAGTAAAATTGACAAAAAATGTTTACAGGTACATTGTAAGAAATTTTGACACAATAAACAAAGATTAGATTAATACACAATAATAACAATACATAATAATGAACAAGGATTACTAGGTACATTAGGATAACATTTCAGGGTTATACATTGGTTCACTGAAGCACAATTTGAGGATCATTTCAAGGAATAATGCAGTAGAATATGCAATCAAAATAAGAACCATGATATCAGATGATATCTAAGATTACAATGGTAAAGTAATATGGCTTAGGTACACATATTGGGGGATTGGGTAGCACTAGATACAGTACGAGTTAAAGCACTAGGTAGTAAACTATGAAGATGAAATTAGGCACTTTTTGGTTTTATTTTTGAATAAGGCAAAAGTTGGACAGCTTTTCAATTCATTAGGGAGTGAGTTTCATAGACTAGGTCCCTTTATTTTCATAGAGTGTTTACATTCTATAGTATGTGTTCTATTATATCTGTCAGGAAGAGTTTCAGAACAGGGTTTGCACTTAAGAAAAGGGTTTTATAAATGTAATTAACACAAGAGAATGTATGGAGTGAATTTATGTTTAGGGATTTAAACAGGGGAGCTGTGTGTTGTCTGAAAGCAGAGTTTGTTATTGTCCTGATAACAGATTTTAGCTGGGTGATGATGGGCTTAAGGTAGTTTGCAGAGGTTGAACCCCCATTCACAGATACCATAAGTAAGATAGGGATAGATAAGTGCATAATAGAGTGAGAAGAGAGCAGAGTAGGGTACATAATATCTGATCTTAGAGAGTATACCAACTGTTTTAGAAACCTTTTTAGTTATGTGTTGTATGTGGGTGCTGAAGTTGAGTCTCTTGTCCAAGTATAGGCCAAGGAACTTTCTATCATTTTTATTGCTAATGTTTACATTATCTATCTGAAGCTGAACTGCATTTGTTGACTTGCTTCCAAATAAGATGTAGTAGGTCTTTTCTATGTTTAGTGTGAGTTTGTTGGTTGACATCCACAAGTGGACTTTTTTTTAATTCATTGTTTACAACATTATTTAATATGAGTGGGTTGGGGTCAGAGTAGATGAGAGTAGTATCATCAGCAAACAATATAGGTTTAAGCATGTTAGAAACATTAGGCATATAATGTATATAAGTATGGTGTATATAAGTATAATGTATATAGGTATGTATATAAGGATGTATATAATAAACAGGAGGGGTCCTAGGAAGCTGCCTTGCTTCTCACCTTGTGTAGTCAATCCTCACCTTGTGTAGTAGAAATGCAAAATTGAAAATGCACAAAGATTTGCAACAAGATTAGTTTCAGAGCTAAGAGGGTTAAGCTACAAAGATGGGTTAAGTGAACTAGTTTTCATAATCCTAGTGGAGTGAAGGAACAAGAGGATATGATCCCAACATACAAGATACCGAAGTGAATAAAAAATACATCGCATTGTGACGTCAAAATCCGCAACGGAGACAATATGACGTATCATGGTGGTTAACACTCTCACCCACACTCACTCTCACCCACGCTCACTCTCACCCATGCTCACTCTCACCCACACTCACTCTCACCCACACTCACTCTCACCAACACTCACTCTCACCAGCACTCACTCTCACCAACACTCACTCTCACCCACACTCACTCTCACCCACACTCACTCTCACCCACACTCTCACCCGCACTCACTCTCACCCACACTCACTCTTATAGTCGTAATGGCTTGGCGCTTTCCCCTGATAGTTCCCTTCACCCACACTCACTCTCACCCACACTCTCACCCAACACTCACTCTCACCAACACTCACTCTCACCAGCACCCACTGTCACCCACACAGATTACTTACATCATGAAATGATAGTGAGTTCCAGTATCTTTTCCCAAGCTTAACTGTGTCCTCAATAACGTTCGTGTTAAAAATTGAAACTTAATTAGGCTTTGAAGAGCTCTAATTAAGCTCCGTTGAATCTGTAAATCGCCTTATTTTAATATCACCTCTCAATACGTTTAAAAATTAACAGCTCTTCACAGGTGAGCTTTATTGAGCTCTATTGATTTTATTATTTTTTTCATAATTTAAACCCTGTTTCTATATTTGCTGAACAGTTTTCAGTATGCATTCACGACGCAGGTCCGTTATATGATGCTAAGCTGTGGATTTATTAGAGAGAATATAAAGGTAATATTTAAGGTTGCCTATAACGACCAAATCTGATCTTATAGTAATATATCAAACCTTTAAAAAAATTTATTCAAAATGCTATACTATCGTTAGCCTTAATTTAGTGTGTGTGACCAATGCTGCGTAAAGGAATAAAATAATAAATCAAAGGATTTAAATATTGGGTTAAACAGTGTAATCAAATCTGTTTAAAGCGTTGAAGAATAAATAGACAAAATGTATGCAAGAATGTCGCCATTGACGAATAAAACCAATGATGTTAATTTGCCAAAGAACGTAGTTTCCCTTTTTCTATAATAATGTATTGGGGTAACCTAGATAAAACAGCCAAATCTGTTGTGGGACTATATGGTCTGAAACATTGATAAATGGTTTATAATTAAGACTTAAATAAATAAATCCAAATTGGAAAGATGACGTCCTAAAGGTTATTGATGAAAACGAGAAGGCGCGACAATATACGCGGGGTGAGGAAAAGTTCCCATGAGTCATGGTGGTGGACGCCCCCTGTGCGTCGCGCCGGTGAGTCACCACGCACACACTCGCATACAAGCGTGCACACACACACACA